CTTTGGAAAGTCATGTTAAGGACGCTTGGGGCTAGAGTCCAAAGAAGGTATGGTTTTCGTCCACAATCGACCAAAACCAAATCCTTTGAGGCAAATATTTGTCTTCTAGCGAAAATACAAAGATATAGTTCATTATAGTATAGATTGAAACGGCGAATAGTGTGTATGAAAACAATGTTCAAAATACTAGACCGCGTCACTACCCAAGAAGTGGCAGATTTGTGAGGCCATGTAGTTTCTTTGAAGTTCAGTGCTTTCGTATTCTCGATCCCACCTTAACTTGTGTACCATACTTTTCAGTTAACTCATCAAAATTAACAAAAAAAACCGCTGCATTAGGTCGAGGTTAGAATGGAAACTGCTCTGAAGACGAGTATGGAAAGAAGACTGGGTTGTAAAGACAGGGAAAGCATCAGATACCGAAACAGTTTGACCGCTTAACAACTCACGTAGAGGAGCGCTTAACTCGACTACTAACGCAGTTCTAATTAGCTGAGTACAGGGCAAAAATGGAAGCAGTAGATAACACAGGCAATGGCTTTGAAATTGAAGCAATCCCTGGGACTTTGAAAGTTTAAAAAATAATCGACCGGTGCCAAATAAGCGGCCACAGGTCTTCCATTACGGCTACCTTACGTACTATTGTTTGTCCAGTAGGTGTGCTTGTGGTATTTTTTTTGCCGCCGCGGCAAAAAAAATACCACAAGCACACCTACTGGACAAACAATAGTACGTAAGGTAGCCGTAATGGAAGACCTGTGGCCTCCACGGCCAGAAAGAAACATTCAAACACACCTAGCAACCCGACTCCCTAGGGTTTACGTGGAGTTCCCATCCCCTGTTGCCTAAAATTTATGTCCAATATAAAATGCAACTTTTTTGCATTTACGCACACAAACTTCTCCTACTCTAAACCACCTCTGGGCAGTTCCCATGCACTGCAGTTGCGCTGTTAACTGCCCGTTTGCCGGTTTCGTGGTTTACGTAGTGCTTCCCGTCATCATCTCTCGGTTTCCGGTCATGGTCCACTTGCCTCCCCTCCCACG